ACATCACACTATCATAGAAAATCTCACATGGGGTCTCATTTTCCGCGAAGTTATTCTCCTAAGCTGCCCAAGTAGGAGAAAACAACTGTTGCCTAAGTCGGCTTTTCGACTGGAAAAATCGGCTCCCATGTCTACCGGAGCTTGACACCTAATCAGTTAAAGATGTGGTCTAATAGGTGGTAAAATTTAATGACCATAATTGGCTAAAGTAGTTTAATCAAAGAACAAAAAAGAATCGCTTTCTGTCCTTCTTAGCTCCTCCTGCTATTATCATCTATCACGGACTATCAAGGGAAAAGGTTGAGTGTTTGAGCGTGTATATAATTGTCCTAAATCTTTATGAAGTGTTTGATGCAAACCCGGTTGCTTTAGCACTTTGATGCTGAATTGCAGTGAGCTTTATAGGTTTTAGTAGTTGTGATCAAATGCCAATCTTTCACAAAGATTCGTTACATCCCCTGACTAATAGCAGCCCCACCTCAATGAAACCATTTTTTGTCCAGCAACAAAACACGTTTTGCCATTTGGCAAAGTCAGAATTGAACGCTGAGAAAAAAGGGGAAGGCATCTTTTTGTTGGCAAAATATTTCCTATCCCAAAGGAGTGGGTTGATAATTTGTTCTTTGACATGCTTGATGCCTAAAAATTTTATTTCATTAAACATAAATATTCACTACTTGCTAATCCTCATCATATACTATCTCGTAGATGCTTCTGATCAACTCATTTCTGCCCATTTGCACTTTCTGGCCCGATGAGAAGCAATTGCCGTCAACTTTAATGAGAAAAATCTCTTTTGTCTAATTTTTAATGTGAAGTTTTTAGGTTGATCAGGGACGTAAACATAATAGTCAAAATGTATTCCGAGTGGCATACAAGTTTGGTGCCATGCAGTAATCAGGGATCTTGGTGGAACACTTTTTTACTCAGGAACCATTTGACGGAAACTGTCAACTAGGCTTTTGGTGTGAACATTTACAAAATCCTTTCGTTTAAAAAAGTTAACTAGAAGTTTTGATTTTGAACTCAATTTTGCAGTGTATTACTCAAGTACGAGTTTAGGGGTAAATCATTCAATTAATTGCATTGAAAGTAAAAGAAATGAGATATAAAAGAAATCAAAAGGTTCGAGAACCCCCGGGATTAAATTATGCATAGGAAGTAAACCAAATCAAAGTCTAGTCATAAAACGTTGCATTGCAGATTAAACCGTTGAAAACCTTTAATTGAGCCCTGCTGTCGTTGTAATTAGCCCAACAAATAGAATCGAAGACTTTCGCTTTCAACCTTATCAGTGTAGAGAGCGTTAAAGGCGAACCAGAACCTTATACTAGCAGGATGACCCAACCTCTTTCGGCAGATGTAACCTGTCAATTTCCTCATTTTATACATTCTTTAGGCAATCCTAAGTGTACACTGTGTGCTTAATTTTCAATTTTTCACGCAGGCATGGATGCTTTAATCGCTACTTCTTGATGGTTTGTGTCGGCCAGGCGTCCAGAACCAGGACTTCTAAGCGACTGTTAATGGTTCTTGATAATGTCCCTAGCTCCCAGTTGGAAAACCACCTCAGTCAGCCGTCTGCGACGCGCGGCTTAGCCACTGTCCTCCCACCAAGAAGCCTAGCAGCTGGGCCACGTCAATAACCCCCAAACTTTTCCGTATATCGACAATACATATTCTGTTCGAGTATTTGCCACAACTGTGGCAGCGGAAAGTGAAATCTGCTACAAATGACAGTTATTCTAAATTCTACTACTGAGTAATAAACTCTAGCGCAATGGGGATGGGAGAATATGTAAAAATCCTTAGCAAAAGGTCTGAAAATGGCTTCCCCCTTCGGCAACTAATACAATTTCGTGTTCTGCATGAAAGCAATTAACAAGTGAAGCGGTACATGCAGTGAACTCGCTGAGATGTTAATTAAGTGCTAACGCGATACCTTCTCCAGCTCTCTGCTACCTGAATAGACCCCAGAGAGATGTGGCTGAAAATCACTGAAGTGAGATCAAAGTGGCAAGGAGAAGTACACTTAAAGCCTTATCATCATAAAACTATTTTAAACAGTGCCCCCTATTAAATGATTCTGCCTCTAGGTAGAACTCCAACTCCAGTAGAATGACCATAGCAATTTGGTGCTGTTGAGGTAAAATACCCCCTCAGTTGCCTGCAAATTTGACGACTAGTGAGGCTAGTTCTTGGTTGTTTTTTTTACATCAGACATTGCGTTTTGGTGACTGAAGCGGAAGGTTAACCAAGGGAAGCGCCGAGGACTACGCTAGAAAGCGGATAAGGGCCATGCAAAACATTAAATTTTTTGTACAACTATGGGTTTTGTTAAACGTTCGCTTTGAACTCTACGAATATACCTCCACCGGGCAACCTAGCCTCCGAGGCATGGCAGTAGCCCCGATCCCAACCGTCCGTCGAAGATACATATTCTGTCCTAGTATTCTGACTTCTTTTTTTTCCATAAATATCTCAAGGGGCTACAATACATCTCTCTTTGAAACGTTCTCCCGGTATAGGTATTTTAAGGCTGGATAACTGACCTCTCCACTGGCAAATATTCATAAATTCAAAACCTAAGCTTTCTTTAGCCAATATAGATTCGTTCATTGGGCTATAGACTTGTAAATTCAAGGGTTCCGGTTTTACATACAAATATTTATCCATTCTTTTAAATACATTTAAGTCAGCAATGGGGACAAGGTTTTATAAAGCCTTTTGAGATAACTGTTTTATCTGCATTGATTTGTCGGTAGTGCCTCTAAACAAATGCGGCAGTTACTTCCACGAGCCCTTAGAGAAGGCAAAATGAGTTCCCAGTCTGCCTTCTTTTTGTAATTGAATTTATCATCTAAATGACATCAGTTTATACTTTTTTGTGTCTAATGGATAAACAAAGTAGTGAAGGAGAAAAAATTACTCCTACGTAAATTCGTGTGACAATAGAAATATCAATGGCGACTAATGACGCTTTATTGCCACCCTTACAAGTTCTTCAAAAGTCCCGTCTTTGCACTGATGGAAAGTTGGTCTCAATATGTTTTAGTCTAACAAAACGTTTTTGTCAAAGCGGCATTATTTAGGTGGTGGAGCCAACTAACTTTTAAAGTCATCAGCTTGGCTTTCAGTTGCTTCTCATTAGCCCCATTTTATCGGGCAATCACCCATAATGGGTGCGTTTGTTCCCTTTATCTCACCATAATCAGGCTTGGTCTACTGAAACTTCAAACAAAGTGAGAAGAATGTGGATAATGCTTTAGCGCATTCTGCTTGAAAAATGTACTTTTATCTGAAAATAATTTTACAATCTGAAATATTTTCTTGGTTAATTTCTAAACACTTTATTCATTTCAAATTAAAAACAGCCAGTAATCTCACCATGGATGTCCTATTTTCTTGCCCGGTAATTAAAATTTTTGAACCCCTATTAAATGATTTCGAGTTAAAGAAGTAAATCTTGCTCGAAAAATTCTTGTTTTATAAAAAAAAGAATGCTACCCATCTCGGACATTAACGCTTCTGTAGCAGTGTAATCCGGTAGTTATTTGTTTAACTCTCGGTTTCGGTAAGGTCACCGAGGTGCTCCTTTATTGTACCATACCGGGTGGATTGGTCTCCAAGCCAGACTAGTAGACCCATAACCCTTCTGTATGTTAGTAATACACATTCTGCCCGTGTATTATGTCTTTCACCTACATGGAAGTCTCAAGCGCTACATTAACTTCTCACTGATCACAGGAACAATTTGAGCAGAAGCGCAAACTGAAAAAACAGAGCAGTACATTTTAACCCATTTTCTTCTCATTTGAGGTCATAAAATATTTTATGTCCTTCCGACTTCTTTGATGCTCTTCCAATACAATTCGATGGCAGCGCATTAGTTATAACATGCCTGGATAATGTTCAACTCCTGTTTCTCACCCAAGCAGATATTGTTTAAACACAAAATCAAATGGAAGGTATCATAGCGAACCGAGATTCGCACTTCTCTCCTAACTCATAAAATTGTACAATTATTTGTGAACTTTCCATTCGGCAAAAGCTGAAAGTGCACGTTAACTCAAGTCCCAGTTAGTTAATTTTGTAACTTTACGCTCTTTGTTTTGTTCCGCGTGTAAATGTTTCATGAAGGTTCACATTCGCAGCGGTGTTTGGGGCAAATTATCGTTTTTTTTGTCAAATCCTGTTGTACATTGTATTGGAGGAGTGGACCGTGTTTAGCCTTGAAGTAATTTTGGATAATCTTGCTAGTGAGGATAAGGCGTGCATAAATATTGTATTGATAAGTGCTTGTTTTAAATCTTGTGGACAACTGGATTGTAGAGCCTTAATTACTTGTTGTTGTGATTGTGCAGGCGCTTAAGGCCCCACTTCCTCACCTCTGGTAGGCAGCATGGTCTCAGAGCTGCGCCATCAGCACCCAGTCCTTCTGTAGGTCAGCTTTGTATGCTCCGCCTAAGTAGTATGCCTTCTTTTGCCTTCAGGGAAGTCTTGAAGCTCTGCATTGGTGGCAGAGGAAAGCAAAACCGAACCTGAAGGACAGCCACCCTTGTTTCCACCAGTGTGTGCCAAACCTTTGTAACACTGATTAGTTGTTTATCTTTACATTTTGGTTTCGCGAGTATTCAAATCCGGGCTTTTGCACTTTTGCTATACAGCATAATCTCCGGATCATGCCAGTTGCCCTCAACTCTTCTGTACGTCGGCAATGCGTGGTCTCTTCCCTAATGTTATGACTTCCTTCTTCAGAAAGAAAGAAACTGGGAGGCTGCAGTATATCTAACAAGTAAATGCTTATCAATTTACAGAACTGACTGAAAATATTATAATTTTGTCAGCGATTCTATTATTATATACCATGGATGCTTAGGAAGTATTTTGTGGCAAGATTTTATCTTCCTCTTGTAGTACTAACACTACAAAAGTCATCCAGTTATGATGAAAAAACCTTTATTAAAAATGGCTTGCTCCAAAATTAAGCGAATAACAAATCACTGGAGGTGAAATGTCGAATCAACGGAGGGTATTTTTCGTAGCGTTGCACTCTTTAAGTAACCAGGAAGAATTGGTGTTGAATCCTTCAAGCAGAGTTCAAACATAGGCTCATTTGTCCACGGGCATCCCTTGAGATAAAACAATCAGATATTTGACATTATTGCAACTAATTCTTAAACTTTGTAACCCTAGGAATCGTCAAGTTTCACTTCAAAATGTCGAAAATAAACTGGAACCAAAATCTAAAAGCCACACTAGTCGTAAATTCAGAATTTGAGTTTTTACTTGACAAGATTTCTATTTACTGCACAAAAAGCCATTTCTGTTGTAATGCAATGGCTAACTATGGAAGAGGATTTGGACAAATTATTTTTAGTCTACACAAAGTGGAGAAAAATAGCAATAACGCCTCTGCGACTGTTTTATTTATGAGACTATGAGTGAGAGTAATGTTTCTAACGTAGTTGCCCTTTAAAAGTACACATCTTTAAGCTGTAAGATAAGGTACGCGGGCCCTACAGTCTTGGCAGCTTTTGGTTACTATAATGACCGCATAGCAACCAATAGCTCATCATCTCTTTTGTGCGCTTGCAGCAAAGCCCTATTCCGACTTTTACGCCCCATATCGTCCTAAGGGTTCTACTCGGGGTGTTAAAAGGCTTCAGAAGAAATTTATCACCATGGTCGTTAATCCCTCCTGATAGGGACAAACAGCTTATCTAGAGACATTGTAAAATGCGCTCAAAGTGACCGTAAGAAAAATCGGTTCCGCGCAGATTTATTTAATGTTGTTAATAAATTCATCACTAATGGCCTTATACCCTTGTGAATGACCAATATAAAGGTGTTGTCACAGTGCCAAATAGGTTTTTATTCCTGTAGATTAAATAAGGAAGCGTCTTTGTTTAGTACCCCTGCCTCTTTCAAATTATGCTGGCCTAAAGAGGATAAGTAAGAATCACAACAGTTACACCTTTAGAAGAATAAGTTTCTTAATTCAAGAGTAAGCTGTTTCAGTAAGTTCTGTTAGCGGTGCCATATGGTAAAACTCCTATTTTCAAGGTGACGTTAGCAATGTGGAAGTGCATATGTCTTCCAAAACCCAACTTGACTAAAAGGAAACGTTGCACTAATCATTGGATAATCAACTGCAGCTTGGCTTTTGTTGACCAACTTTGCAACTGAGCAAATACCCTCAACATAGACTTTTGTTCTAACTGAATAACCTGACATAATTCTCCACCGATCGTCCCTTGAGTGACTAAATTTGGCTTTAAGAACAGTGGAATTGACACAACTGCCTGTCATCAGCCACCTCTCAACTGAACACTTAAGATATACTTCGGCTTTTAATCCAAATTTCCATAAAATAACTTACGCCCTTGTTTTTCTGCACCCACTTGAGGACGGCATCATCCTCATTACTGCGCTGGGAGATGGATACGATGCAGTTCCCTTGTTTATTCCTGCCATTTGTTAAAAGGAAGGTAGTGGGGTTAGCCAAAATCATTGGTTATGCGCCCTTTTACATTATAGTCAGTTTTTTTGATTTTTATTTTCTCAACAAAATGCGTACAAATTGCCTCTTGTTTGGCACAAAAAGTAAGTTTTAGATTAAATTCTCTTTTCCTATAGAAAACTCTACAGTCAAATTTGGCTAGCATTCACCACATGTCAATTGAATTATAGATGGATTCAAACCGATTGTTATTTTTGTCAGGAATTTTAGCTTACGTCACTTGTAAAAAGGCTCGAATCGGGGACTCCGTAATCTGTGACTTTATGTTGAAGAGAAGGTTGAGAGAGTTAACTAAAGGACCCCTCATCCTTGGTACTGCGCCCTTGAGTAGAGTCGGCTTTTCCTACGCAATAAAAACAAGCAAATTTATGCAGATTTGAGCATCTACTAACCGGTTCTGTCTTGGCTCAAATGAGAATTATAAGGCATTTAACTTACATCTTCAACAGTAGTATCGGTGCAGGAAGAGAAATTGATAGCGTCTTGTGAACCTGACCTCGGTGACCCAATCTCAGGTGCTGCATTGCAAGGAACTTCATCAATATCAGAGTCACCTTCTTCCTTGCTGGTAAGGCGATGCAAACTCCGGCTTAGTATCTTTGGACTGGTTTTGTATTCGGAGATGTTTATACTGTGACGAGTCGATGTTTGCAATTTTTTTACTGTTTGGAAAGGGATTCGTTTCTCTTGAAATATGTTTTGACAAGTCTGTAAATAAGGCTCCCCTAAGATGTCAAATTTGCTATGCTAAATGAGTTTGTTAAGTCCGATTTATTCTTGACAATACGTGGATTAGCTTTAAAGTAAGGACTATTTATATTCCTTGACATTAAAATGCTTTTAGTTAAAAGTCTTCTTTTATCCGAGATTTTTAATCAGAGGGACCCAATGAGCAGATTAATCAGCTCTTTTCTATCATGCAATGATCTTACTCTACTAGCTGATAGGCTGTATGCCCTAGGGTAGATAAGAATATTTACTGAGTCCTTTTTTTAAAAACACAGCTTACCGTGTGGTAGGGTTGAATTTTTCCACTTTAGCGTCTTGTAGATGCAAACGATACCCGAGCCAGTGCCAATAAAGAGATAAGAATCGTTCGCCAGTACCGCAGTCACTCTATCCGGGTTTTCGCTTTCCAGTAAGGCCTGGTTCAAAAAAGCAAAGATGTTTCGTCAAGATTACTTTAAGCGGGAAAACATGTGCACTGGAAACCAGACTAAGGTATCTAGAGTTTTTAATGCGATAGTTAAATTTCCCCCATACACAATCAACTCAAGCCACTCATGTCATTTTCAGATTTATTTACTCCCCACGATATCACAACAAGAATGATTTTGTCTGTGATAAGAACTATGATCTTACATTGGAGCCCCTTGACGGTAGGTATCTGCTAATGTCGCAGTAGCAGGTGGGTTCAAATGTGCTGGTGGATAAGAGTTTGAGTGAGGTCTTTCCAACCAATGAAATCCAAACACCGTTTGAGCAAGGAGCAAGACAGCAGATACTGTCCAATGGGTTTTCTGACACCGTAATTTTACGTATATGGTCAAAAGTCCTTAAGGAAAAGGTAGTCGATGATCATTTCGTGTTAAACGATAAGTAAAAGTGTCAAGTAGACTAAATGCTTTAAACTTACGTTACATCAAATACCTCCAAGACGCAACCGCAAGCACACCATAATTGTGTGTCAATAATGGAGATGAATGAGACAGCTATGAATCCAAGGGTTTGACTGTACAGATCACGTGGAGCTGTTTCACCTGTCAAATCCTATAATGGAAGTGGTATTATTGGTTCATTTACACTCTTCAAAAATAATATGTAGGTTTTTCATTCTTTTGTGCTTTAAATTACACTCTAGTCGCATTTTACCTACTCGTTCTATCTTAATCACTAGTCACCAAGTTCTTATGTTCGTTTATAGCGTAAAATGCTATGCCTAGACCGAGATGCCTATTACAAGATCAAAGAGCTTTTTCGGTGGCTCAGTTTGATACCAAACTTTCAACGAGGGCAAGTGCCTGCTGAGAATGGCCAAATCCGAGAGGACTTGCTAGAGATAGAGGGTTGAATTTTGACTACCGATTGAGACACAAACTTCGTGCGAGGGTCAGTAAGGAAACGAGACTAAAGTAACAGGGAAGGTCTGGACTAAACTGGGGCTAGACTGGCTCAGACGACTAATGAGCCTGATTTGACTCCTCCTCGTAACACTAGAATTTCGTGAGTAAACTGGGTGGAAGGGGTAGGGCATGGCTGAGGCTAAATACAAAGCATAGCGCCACAAAGCCACTTACTATTCTGCGTTTTACCAAACAGCTTCACCCTGTGGTTCATCCTACCAAATTAGTATCAGGCAGTATCGAGAGTGAGCTCTGGACAAAAAATTCTTTTAGTTTTAACCGGCGCATATCCAACTCAGCCTTCTGAAATGACGCTAAGAAACTGAAGTGGTGTGAGCTCCCAATACCAACCCGGTTTTGCCCTAAAGAAAGACACCTGCAAAAGTTTCTACGATTTTAATGTAAGAATTAAAACCTGCAGAAAGCCTCCTAAATTCTTCCTTGATCTAATCACCACTAATAAAACTAGGCTCAGGCTAGCTGTGGATTACACATTTACACGGCGTTGCATCCCCAGAAGCCAAAAGAATTCATAACTTTAACTGCCTGAGTTTCTACCTACCTGCCTATCAATCTTACTTTATTAATTAATTGTCTTCCCTATTTTACATGCCGCCAATAAAAACTCCATGAAACACTATCAAAAATATGAAGACTGGAGCCTAAAGAAAAAGAAGCCATTCCTCTTCTCCACTCCAAATTATAATTTTCCTTACGGTCGTGCGCTGAGGGTTGAGGCCTAACGTCTTGGGTAGTCTTATAAGAATGGTACATTACTCCCATTGGGCAATTAGTCCTGGCTGTTCCTTAAGAAGACGCCCTTCGTGGAGATCACCGAGTTGTATCACACTCATGCACGCACATATTAGCACAAGAAACAGGGTCATGAAGGAATGAAGCGGCGGATACCTCGGAGGTGTTTATGTGTTTGGATATACCCTTTCGCCTAAGGAGCATCTCAGTACAAAGGCCATTTCTTATCACGAGTAAGCCAGTCAGTAAGCAATTCAAAGTGCTTATTACCATCTATTAAGTCGTGTTAGTCGCTTTCATAGGTTTTAGTAGCTTCCTTCACGACTACGGTTAGTCGCATTGCTAGAAGTTGTACTTCACACGTCAAGCTCAATAGGTTTTGGCCCTCCTAAGCCTCATAAACCTATCTTTAGGCGATTATTCACCAGAAACGAATCCATCATCCTACCTAGGATACTACATCACTTTGTTCAGCGTCTGTTTAGACTGATCAGCAGCCACTTTCGTGAAAAGCATCTTTGAAATCATGTTCAACTTGGCTCACAAGGCAGGCCAGCTCAAATCACATTCATCGGACCCGATGAAACCTACTTCATAGATCATCTCAATTTGTGATGAAGGATGTACCGAGGATGCCGCTTAAAAATAATCAGAAGCTATGTAGTAGCATAAATGTTTTGTAAGTCTGACTTAGGAAGTCTCTCCGATCCTCCGCTACTTAATTAGCTTTTGCTAGCTCTTTCCAGACCGGTATGCATCATTGTCTTCTGAGACAAACTATACTTTGTAGGACATTGCAGATTTGGTAAAATCCACTAATATTAATGCTTCAGACATAAAGTTGACAATGGAACATTGAATAGATGAGACTGTTACTTAGGCTTAGATACTACTGAATTAATTAAGTAGAGCAATAGTTACCACAATGAGACTGAGTATTCCATTAGCCGTTCCCACAAATGCGTGTTTTGTTCCACCCCTTTGTCGATCAATTGTAATAGCTGTTATGCCACCAGACATTTTTAGTTCCCATGTCTTTTGTCTACAAAACACAGGGAAATTTGGCAGCATAAAGGTAAAAACTAGAATACCACCCAAGCGACAGGACTCACTTCGGTCCGATATCATATGCGTAGAGGTAGCCTTTTGCTGAGCCTAGTAAAATATGACTGTCTTTTATCCATGCTGCGCACGTGATTGGTGCGTCAAACTACAAAAAAAAGGCACAGCGGTTAAGAGCTTAGGGATTTTACAATCAACAAATTTGCCAATCAGAAAGTACCCGGCCCTCGATGGCATAATAAACGTCTTCGTCAGTGTTACCCAATTTCAACACGTATGAATCGTTTTCAGCGCAGCTCATTATGAAACATGGAGACGCTGGGAAAGAAAAAAATTTGGGTTATAAGTATAAGTGACTAGTGTGTGTTCATTTACTTTAAATACTTGGAGAGTTTAAGGAGTGGCAGTCACACAGAGAGGATTAAGTGTTCTAAATGAGCAGTTAATCATTTGTATCTATTACCAGTCTTCCATAGGCCAGGTACTGAGACGAACAACTTTTAATTCTTTGAATGTTTGCCATCTATCGACGTTGCTGCAGATAGTAATCTCACCCTGCGCCTACAAACATGTTCATACTTGAATCACCTGAAGCAAAACTAGTGGGTGGACAAGGGAGTCAGTAGAACGTGCGACATGAAAATTACCGTTCCCTAAAAGTCTATTGTCCTGTGTCTTGATTATCGCCTAGCATATAAATGAATAGGTCGTCTCTATGGTACTCATTGAAACAAAAAACACATCACGATTAAAACTAGTGAACTTCCACAACTTTGGCTAGATAATGCGACGTACATTCATCCAGTGCAGACGCGAAGAAAGTCCGGGGAGATTGAGGTGCATCCCTACCGGAAATATTATTCACTTGCTTTACATGAAAAATATAAAATATTGGTTTATTAAAGTGGGAAAAGGTTCAAATAACTTCTGAATTATAATTTTCAGCATGCACGTTTTGCAAGTAGCTTCGGACTTTCAAATGGTGTACCGGTAGGAAGTACTCAACGGTGTTTTATCATACAACTTTAAAATTTTCGGGAGACTTCTGATTTTTATGGTACTATAAACTAGGAAAGATTGCCAGAGTAGGGGCGTAAAAAAGAATATCTTACTCCTTTCGCTTTAAGTTCGTCCAAAGCGCAGCTTAGTTGGTGACGCTTCTCCAACTCACGCATCTTTGCCTCCCGACGAGACTTGAGTTCCTTGCGTTTGACCATTTTAAAGCCGTTGAAAGCAATCTAGTAGAAGTACAACTACCTTCACTAACAAGATTGAGGATTGGGGTTTCGACTGCTATATATGCATCTATTTCGTGCGGAAACACATTATCCTCTGCGCCAACTTACACTAAGAAGCTCCTCGTAGTCATAAACAAGGCTCACGGCTATCTTCATGCTCTTCCAGAAGGCCAGAGTGTCCGATTGTCGGAGGAGGATATCTTGCTGTTGCAAGAGAAGCGCAATGGCTACGCGAAAGAGGACCTTTTCGCCCTCCAAAAGAAACACATCCCATATGCGCAGAAGTGTCTAGCAGGATAGGCAGAAAAACCTCCCGGTTAAAGAAAAAACCTATCCGAGCTACTTTTTTATCCGACCGGGTTCAGAGGTTGCTTTGTTTTAAGACGCTTTTAACCCACCGAAAATGGATACAGAAAGTGTGCTGGATAAGATTTAAAGGCGATACGAGGTGAGTTTAATCAGGGGGCATTGAACGCCGAATCGGTATAACATGGCATGACCAAAGTCCTCCACAAGGTAACAATTTCCAAGAGGTTCAAATTCGACCAAATGTAGCCTTTTTGAGCCGACAGTTGATATCCGCCTCCGCTTTATTATCCAAGTGCAATATTAAAATACATTGTAAATGGAACGAAGAAAGAGGCGATAAGGCAGACGGTTCTGCCACCTCACCGCCTAAGTCTGCGCATAAGAATTAGAAATGGAATATTTTTAATCAAAATTATGGCATAATTATTGACAAATTGAGCTGATTGTTTTAACTGTAATAAATCAAATCTATTTACTGGTAATGTGCTGTAACTATTGTCCATTTTTCACTCTCGAGTTCCAGTTTTACGGATAAATACCTATCACCTGTAAAGCGATGATGCCAACATGTTAGCAGTGCATTTATTTAAGGAAATTACCAAGAAAAAAAGATATGGTGCATCAGTTAAATATTCTAGGCATACATGTAAAGCATAACCATATTTTCAGAACAATTTAGGGATACTGACGAGTAATTTTCATCGTAGTTACAAATGGACATTAGTTTCGACGTTTGGCACCCCGTAGATTGATTTGAGGCTGGCCGTAATGCACACCCAAGGAAGGTATTCACTTCACACCTTGACAGTTGGTTAGATTGTTGAAAAAATTCAACACTCGACAAAAAGTATCGGGCCAAAGTCCATTGAATGTATCGCTTGATTGGAGTGTGATTGGGTATCAGGGTGCCGAATTCATATGCTCTTGGCATTGGGTAAGTTGCAACATTGGTGCACGTACCAGCGGATATAAATATTCGACAGACAACGAGCCCTTCACTTGCAAGGGCAAACAGACAGGAGAGACATGTGGGCTCTCGCTTTTATCCTATCTTTACTCACTGCCACGCAGCCGACATTCGCCTTCGTCACTGGGGGTGGCCAAGGTGATAAAGAATTCGGTCTCAAGTAAGTTTATTTTAGCATTAGACTGAACCCACAAAAGGACTTAGTTTTCAAAAGTCTAGGTTTGCAGTTGTGACATGTAGCCTAAGTGGAAAAGAAATGGAAGACCACTTTAAAGAGGTAGAACTCGTTGGCATTTGACAGTTTGCTCTTGAGACCTCTGTGAGCAAATCAATAGCCCGTCAGGTAGATTAAATTTGTTATACTTGGGGTCGGAAGCATTTTTTAAGAAAATTATAACTGAGTAATTCTTTGTTTTGCATTGTGGAATTTTATATTGTCATCTTTGTAACAGATGTCAACCTGTCAACTGAAGCAATGCAGATAAAAATCAAATAGAGTCTAGGGGTTTCGATCAACTTCCAAAATTATGCTTTTTCAGAAGGGACATTTCCCGATTTTTTATATTAGTATTTAGCTAGCTATAGATAGTAACTTCGGTCTAAACTTCAAAAACTCGTATGAAATTCTAAAGACTACAAAAAGGGACAAAGAAATATTTGACATAATGCATGAGCGTGACTTATTTCCCCATTTTTCCAACGCAGAACTGGTTTTAACTTCACGTACCCCCACAGAAAACTAATTTAATTTGGGCTATCATAGCGCACACTTTTCATTCTAGAATAGATGGCGCTATAACAATGCCAAAGAATACAGGTTACACTTTTGCAACTGACGCTATCAGCGCAACGTCGACTCCATTAATTATGCAAACAAACACTGGATACTCTGAATCATCGAATTTCCCTGAATATGGCACAGAACAGTCTACACTTGAGTTTGAAGTTGGGGAACACGAAGGCAGTGGTGTGACAGAGCAGTCTCTTGAAGCAGTGATTAACGACAGCGCTCACGTCACTAAGGAGTATGAGTCTACTGATTCATCAGGTATTGAGGCGGACAGGAACGCTGCAACCATTAAAGGAGGACTTAAAATGAATACGGAAGAGTTCAATGAAAATGCTACTACAGTTTTCGATGACAAGGATTCTACTGGTGAAAGTGCATACCCGGAAAGCAAAGTAGAAGGTGAAGAGGGAACTATGCAAGATGTTGAAGAAGGCCATGTAAATGAATCTGAAGAGAAGAGGGAGGAGGTTTTAACAGGTAAAGCTAATGCCGGAGATGATGAAGCTTTAACTGCTGTAACCGTCGACACGGGATCCACCATCGAAAACATAAATCAAGAAAATAAAGCAAATGAAAACGAGACTTCGCCAAACCCTGATACCAAGAATGCTAATGAAGTACCAGTTGATATCACCGGTACCATGGAAACTGAAAAACTGAGTGATCACTCTATAAATCCGTCGGAAGCTCCATCAACTCAAGCGGCTAAAATTGATCAAGGAGAAGAGGAAACCTTGACAATCGAGAAGAAAGGAATCGCTGAGAGCTCAGCTGGTGTTTTTAGTGATGCAGAAAATAGGCTTGAAGACACCGAGATCCATGAGTGGGACAGCGAAGTGACCGCAAAAGCGACTTCACTTGCTACCGAACAATCAACAAGCACGGATTCTACTGTAGATGAAAATACAGCCGAGGAGTCGATTTATACCAAAAATGTTGAAGAGGAAGAAATTCTGGAAGAAAAAGTAGAGAATGTTGGGATGGAGGAAGTAATAAAGGAGACAACCACAGGAACGTCAGAAGCCGTTGTGGGACCTGACGGTTCAAGTTCACCGCCCCTAGGTGGCTCCACAACGGAAGGAACCGATGCAGATATCTCGAATAGTCGTGTAGCAACTGTGAAAACATACGCCGCAACCGCTAACAAAACCGTCCAATTGAATGCTCCATGGTTTAAGTCCCTTCGCATGGACATCGTTCAGAGCCTTTACGAAGTAAAGGACAACATTTATCAGGTGTGTTTCATTCCTAACTACTTTTTTGGTATTATTTTTGTTAAGTAAAACTTTTTTTTCCCTTGAGGCTGCCACTTCATTGCAAAAGGCTGTGGAGGTCATACAGGAAGTCATGGTGTCATTTGTTGATGGTGTTCAAGCCTATACTCTAAAGGGCACTTCTTATGACCTCGCAGATGACGTACCAATTAAAGTTCGGCTAGCTAATTTTTAAATTAAAACTTTTTAAAAAAGGATTCTCAGCTGATTTTCCTCTCTTTTTTTTTAATTTAGAGTTATCGGTCCTGAGGAAGAAGAGTGAAGAGTGGCTGGCGAAGCAAACATTTTCAAGCTCACTGATTTGACATCTTTCATAATTGTACTCTACTAGACATTAAATAAATAAAATAATAAACTTTTCACTTTTATTTTACTGAAAAAGTACTCACTTCGATGGGGACAGTGCTGACATAGACGGCAATGAACCAATTTAGAGTGATTGTTGATATGTCGACTTCGAGTTCCTGCATAGCTTTCGCAATTCTGGGGCAGTACTTGGCAATCAGATCCCGCAGAACGATCTGATCAGCCTGTGCGGCGATGAGGCCCTCATTAAAGTATTTCTGTGGGAAGTAGCGTTCAACGATCAGCACCAACAGCCTAGCAGACAACAAGGAGGATTACTTAATAATATGGGATACATAACATGTTTCGCTAGGATCCTAGTTAAATTTATAAAAGTTATTTGGGGGCTAGTTAAAGATCCCGATGTCCAGGTAATAAAAAATTTCGACGAGTTTTCAAAGAAGTAAAAAAATAATCCTGTGTTTAGGACCAGAATCCTTATTGAAGCGCCTGATTGGGATAACAAGGCCATTGAAGCCTGTAAGGGACGCCAATATTTACTTCTAAATTGGGTAAAAAATCAGGCGATTTAAATGGAACTTCGAAGCTTTTGAGTTCGAAAATGGGGAGGAAGATAAGTCCATAATCCCTATCCACTTCTGCTTCTGTCTTTCAAATGGGTTAATACATATATATATATAACAAGCTGATCGTTTGGTTAAATCTTGGCTTTGGTAAAGGGGCCACTTGGGTGCTTCGCCATTGTACCTTCGCCAGATGGGCCGGCCCCCGGGTCATATTAGTAGTCCCAAGCCCCACTGCATGTCGAATATACAAGTTCTGCCCAAAGTACTGTGTCTTCCTTTATTTTTAGCAGTCTCGAGGCGTACTATTAGTGGCAGCGAAAAGCAAATCTGGTCTTAATGCACGACTCCCCTAATTTCTACCGCTGAGTGATAAGCCTTAGAGCGGTGGAAGTACATAGGCTTCAGATAGGTGCTACGGTGGCGACCCCTAAAATGAGAGTTGAAAACGACATCTAGCTTCGGCAACTATCCCATCTTAGTGGTCTGCAGGAAAGCTTTTAGCAAATGAAACAAAACAAGCCATAAACCAACTAGAAAAGTCCCTTACAGAACTGTCTACGGTGCCTGTATTAAGATGTCTACTAAGTAAACACGTGATACCACCTTCACTTCTCTACTAGCTGAATTAAGCTTTTGTTAATATATTGGTAATTAGCACTGAAGTGAGAACAAAATAGAAAGGAGGAACAGACGCCAAACCTTATGCCCACAATGTTGATTTAAACCCATCCTTGATTAAATGGCTATGCTTTTAGGCCAGCGTTCTACCAACTAGCGATATATATATGGGATGGTCAGCTCAATTCCCCGCTGCCCGATACGGTTCGCAAAAAGAACGAAACTCCAGACCCAGTAGAAGTGCCAAGAGGGAGCAGCGACACTGCTGTCAGTTAACTTCGCATTTGCAAGCAAATTCGATGACTGGCCCAAAGTACTGTCTTAATTCGTCTTCAGAGAAGTTCTAGAGAGCTGTAGATCTGTCCTCATTTTGCCTTTTATTTATTCCATCTCGCATATGAGGTAGAAAGCAGCAAATTGACGGTCTCTGGATGTTTTTAGTCTGCTAAGATTATCACTTCCCACCATGACTGGACAGCCAAATTGTGTGAGAAAGACTGTATTCTATCATTGTTATTAAGAATTGGAGACCCTTCCTAACCGCATGCATCTGTTCTAAAGTGATCAAACAACTGTGTCAAATTACCCGTTCCATCCATTTAATTCTGAGGAGAACATTTGGATGACATGCCATGCGCCTCTTTTGAATGGTCTACAGCAAATTTTACAAAAAGCTGGCTTCTACGGCATCCTGGGAAATGAGTCTCAATCACTTTATCTAGCAAGTGAATTGGGATTTCAACTATTAGGTTCCGCCACTACTTTATAACGCACAGATGATGGCATCCATTTGACAATTCCCCACTAATTAAAATAGGTAGACTCGGTGAGCTGTGCTGAAAACTCAGGTACTTTTCCCGGTCACCTAACACATCAGTCACGCCAGTCCCTGTTTCCACATCAAAAGCACATTTGCAAAGGATCTAATCTAAAACTATTTCGTTATTTTGTAGACTTACTTCGTATACTTAATCAAATTTTTGACAGCGTCAAAAACCGAATGTTGACTCACTAATTATCTGCTCAGGCACTCAAGGGTGTTGTGTCTGAAGCAGACCAATTAACATTTTTTTTCAACGCATCTACTTACCAGAAAGTGGTTTCTTTATCGAGGAAGAGTGAGGCATTTCCAACTATGAAGTTCATGCCCTGGCAGTATCCTACTTCTTGATTGTGGATGGTGAAGGCCTGTAACACCTCCTGCATTTTCTGAACCTAAAATACCAGCCAAAATTTGCTTTACTTTGCTGAAGCCTCACACGAAAGTAGTTTTTCATAGTGTTAGCTTTCTTTTGGCTCTACGCCTAATAGCCCACCTAGAACCATAGCCTTGAAGTGATAGTCATTGCAAATCAAATATCCTTTCTCTCACGAACACTTCTTAAGTAGAAATGGGATAACATTAAGTGACAAACATAAGCTAAATCTTTACATTCTGTTTTATATCTCTCATTAATTTAATCGGATCTTGAAAAATATGTGTTTCTATTTTCTTGAAAAGCTTCAAGAATTTCAACCCTTGGAGCACATTAACTCTCCTGTAAATGGTTCCATTTTGAGCTAATCCAACAAAGGCAATGCTTGAAAGAGGGAATTTATGATCAGCTTATTTAGTAACCTTAGCTTCGAAAATTGGTAACATTTCTTGCCGAAAACAAGACAATTGCTTTGAATAGACATGCAAAGTCGCCATTCTGTCAGTTGTTAATAGGTAGTGTAGGTGCTAGTCACCTTATTTTCCCCGGAACTCTTTGACATTTCAGTTTTCTACCCTTCAAAACTGCTTATGCCATTAGCTCCTCATCCAATCCTACATTATCAGGAGTTAAGAAAGAGTCCACGTACTCATAACAGTTGGAATAACACTTTGTTCTTAGAGACTCTCCTGTCCATACCAAACAGCGCATCTCACAAGGCGTCACCCTGTCGTCTCTAGCGTGATTTTGATCATAAAGTAATAACCCCTATCCAAATTCTTTGCATACTTCTGTAATATTTTGGCAAAAATACATTGCTACTAAAGTGCCACAATCAGCCGCAGCAGTCTTCGGCTCAGTTCTTCACTTCTGCCCCATCCGAATGAAATACACAATTGTAAAAACATTTTGAGCAACTTACTCCAAATCCCTCCGGTCTATTGAATGCAACGTGGTTAGGAAAGGTGCGCAGCACGTCCAGCGTAATTTGACGCCGGCAGGAAGAATCAACCTACATAACGAGAACGGCTTAAAGGTATACAGAAAATACAAGTTCCTTAGGTATGCATGACTTGAAAGATAGTGGAAGTGCTCAGATACGATAAACCCTTCAAAAAAACGTTTTTAAGATGTCCTTCGTATTCTTTCCTAGGGTATCACGCAACCTCTCCCATAGCTAAAATTTTCTGCATTTGGATGTCTTAAAGTCGACTTCCTTGTCTTTTAAAAGTGGTTTTAAAGAACTGACCTATTAGAACAATCATTCCAGTTAACAGTTGCTATGGCTTCTCCACATAGGCTGTGTTGATGACTGCACATTGTAGAGACCAGAGCGAACTGCCCATTAACGTTGCAGCGGATGAGAACTAAAGCACAGGGACTCAGAACCATTAAAAACTTATTTTTCCCAGCTTTTTGAAATTGTTAGCTTAAGATTTGTCCGATTATACTTTTTCAGTTATTTGCTGAAAAATCTGGGAACTCGAAACTATGCTAAACCGCATGCACATTATGTATGAGGCAGACCCATAAGTGGAAGTGTAATTTGAAGTTCTGCTTTTTGGAAAGTAGTATCCTTACCCATCTTTGTATTTAGTGACCTAGCAGTTACGAAACGATGTGGCGACGACTGCACCTCAGATGTTCAAAAAGGACTCCTTTTACATATTCCAGGCTAAGGAACGAGTGTTTTGAGACTACTGCCTTACTTAGATGAATAGGTGAGAGAGTTGTCGACTCACCTGACCATCTTTGACCCTATCTGTAAGATTTTGGTAATGTTGCGGGTCCATATTAAGTTGGAAAAGTTTGGCACCAAGTTTAACCAACTCCTTCCAGACCTCAGGTCTTATTCCACCTGGAATTCCGCTTCGGCAGAGTTCTTTCAAGCGTTGCTAAATGAATTGAAATATATAAAACAACTTCAGAGGTGACGAACCATAGATCAGGTATGAAATGCTCCTATTTCGGTTTTCATTGCTAAGTGTCTCCAAAAATTCGCTCACCCTAGGAACCAGACTGAAATTCGAATTTAATATTTCATTCCATTGAGCGATTTTCAGTTCTTCTGGGGGAGAATTCAACTTGTAGGTGTCCAGTAAAAGACTAGCGAGGTAAAGCATTGTTGATTCCTCCTTTTCAAAGGACTCTTGAAATCCGTAGGTGTTCATATGACCACCACGTGATGATATTCTACGCAGAACAATAATAACTAGGGATAACTGTGAACCCCATGATAAATGACAGAGGAATTTGCCAAAGATATGCTTTTTGGTTTCCTTTTTGATGTGTCTCGTAAGTACTCAAAAACTTGACACAATTGTGCTTAGCATTTAATCGTAACAATAATTTTAAAATGCCGTCTAGTCTACAATCACTAGTACAACAACTGCCCCTGCAGGTTGACAATTTAGCAGCTTACAGAGAAGCAGAGGGCAATCTGGGGTCTTCTCTTCTGGCAATCTCCAAAAGGTGCCCAACACGGATTTTGTGCTAAAAGGTATTGAGAAAGGATTAGTTTGCTACATTTAAACAATATTCCATAGAAATCCTTGTCCACATTTGATCAGAATGGAAAGCCCTAGGCCGCGTCATAATGTTTTGCTGATTTATTTAACTCCTTGCTTTGGCTTTGTGGACATTTAAGGCTCGAATTTTATACTTTTGCTGGGCAGCATGGCCTCTAGGCTGTCAGTAGCCTCCCTTCTTCGTAGTAGTCTCGAAGCGCCAAAATGGTGGCAGCAGAAGGTAAACATGGTTCTAAAGGATAATCGGCTTTTTTAATTCCTGAATGCTAAATCTTGACGTGGTGGAAGAAGGACATAAGCTGCGGGTGAATGAATTTGTGGTGACCCCTAATGGAAGGATTGAAAATGACGTCTACTTTCAGTATCTACTTCAGTTCCTTGTTCTGCGGGTATACAATTAACGATCGAAGCAACGCTGGCCGTGGAGCATCTAAAAAAAGTTCGTCGTGGAGCTCTCTACAATACTGACATGAAGATGTCAATAAAAGAAACGCGATACCTCCCTCACTTCTCTAGATGTATGGCTGGATGGCATTAAAGCAAGAACTGTTTTAAATCCTATTCCCCATTAATTGACTCTGCCTTTGAACTGGTATTCTTACGACTAGCGATGGATATACGAGAAAGCTAGCACATTCTCCTTCCTTTAAATAGAGTCCCAAAATAGGACAAAACTTCAATTCCAATGAAATTGCAGAGAGAGGTAAGTAGCGTTGCAGTGAAGTGTCTTATCAGTTGCACGCAAATTCCATGACTAGCGCGGTTGGTTTGTAGGTTTATTACAGTGCTGACAATATTGTGATGACTGGCGCGGTATGCTGACGAATTGGAGTGCTCCAAAGTAGAAGGGCCTCTGGAATACTTCGTTTCAGATTCACTAGCCTCCAAGTCGTGCCCGTAGCCCCAACCCCCAGCCAGTCCTTCTTCGCATTGGCAATATACTCTCTGTCCTAGCATTATGACTTCTCTCATCTTCTGGAAAGACTCGTGGCGTTACAGCTCTTACCCACTTTGTGCTCCGCAGAAAGTAGATTAACTTTAAGGAAATGTACATAAATTACATTTACCTTGTCACTTATGGGCAGATCAGCATACCGGTCGCTTTCTAACGCCCCACCCAGCTTATACTTGTAGCAACTTTGCAGCAGTGAGGCATAGCCTATTCGTAGATCATGAAGTTCACTTTCCATTTCTTCATTTACCCTAAATCATGCAAAAATCAGAGTTTCAGAGCACAGGAACTATCTTCAAGTCAAGCAGAATCTACTTCTATCTAACACAGTAAAGGTTACGATTGAAAAAGGCACTTTTCAAGCCCTCATTAAATGAAATGGTAAATGTTTGCGTGCTTACTCTGCATTTGATCAAAATAAGCAAATTACAACAAATTTTGGGCGTAGCTAATAGGATAAACTCACTTGCGAAGGCGCTCAATCTTTTCTAAAGTCTGTTGGAATTCAACCTTCATGAAGTTGTTCACCTCATCCATCTCGCTCAAACTGCCACTGTCAGAACCGATGTGACTATGATGGAGGGAAATTATGGAAGTTACTATGCAGCAGGAACAGAAAGACGTCACATTTTTACATCTTAATAAGCTACACTGATTGTAGGAAGAACTCTTCTAAGTAACCAAGTCCTGTTAAGCAAATCTTTATGTACTATTTCCTTTATTAACTACTATGTTTGGGTGAACATGGGGAATAGTGGCTTCAGGACAGAGGTCTTTAGGGCCAACAATAGGCGCAATGGAGAATTTGGATGCTTTGGATGCATCTTTAAAGTCTGCCTCAACGCGAAAGAAATTCTTCGTAAAAATAGGTAGAAATGCAAAATTTCTTTTTAATTTTATTTTGGTCTCTCCATTTTTTGACTAAAATAAGCAGGAAATAAACACTTAGTTGACTCACAGTGTTTTGCCTTGCGAAGGTGATGTTGAAGATGGGGGTTGAGGCTTATCCTCCCTAAATAAGGCGTATACCGTAATGCATGAAAGGAAAGGGTGATCATTCGAGCCATATTATTTATTTCACATTAGTAGCAATGGAAATATTTAATGTGAAAGATCAAGACCGGTTGGGTAGTTCTATTTTAATCACGTACGGAAAGAAATGAGTGTCGTCCATAACAGGAGAGGCCACTAACGATGGGCTTGTTGTGTCCGTAGCCTCGTGAGGGGAAAATCGGGCTTTCAAAACGCCTAGTAATATTTACAAAGTGGATGATGAAATATTTATTCTTTTAATTGAATGGTATATGCAGCTTTTACAGCCTGCAACTGAGTATGCCCATTAAAAATGGAAAGAGTTTAAAATCCAAGCTAAGAAGATAGTAAATTTTTGTTTCGGTTAGATATTTTTTACAGCATTGATGCCTTGAAGATTCGTAAATTTGCAAGCCCAATTAAATTACGCATGAAGCCCTATAGTAAACTTTTTACTTCCTTGCAAAATAGAAGACAAGGTAAAATCAAGGTCTTACCGCTTTTGAGAGATGTGAAAGAGTAAGTTTTTGAATCAGAGCGGAGGAGGTTCTAAAGGCAGAAATGACAAAAATTATCATTAATTTTCGGCAAAGTTCTTTCCATATTGGGGATTTCGAAGTCAAATTCCCAAAATTCGCATGCCTAGCTTGGAATTTGCTAGTCAGATTGTTTTTCCCCGCCTCTGATTCCAGTAGTGGTTACAATGAGCTGTCAGCAGGCACACTTAGGCAAGCATGTCCTGTCGAAACTTTTCATTTTAAGCTATTGTGATGGGGATTAACAATGTTTTTAAAAAAGGCAATTCCCCAGTGGGTTTCATGACGGAAGAACATAACTCGAGTTTTATAG